TTTTTTTTTTTCCAAATCTAATGACTCTGTGAAGGACAGATCAAGTCCTACCTCTTCTTGAAGCCATCTGTGACCATACCAGCTAACCATGTTTTGTTTTGTCTTTGAATTCTTATATTGCTTATTGTCCATCGCAGTCCTCTGGCATTGCTTGATTATATTAAGCAAATGCCTAAGCTCATGAAAATTTACCTGAAGATACAGATTAGCATAAAACTTCATCTAGTATTGCTCTCCAACAAAATGTAATTCCTTATTTTGTCATTTAAATTTAATATCTTAATATCTTAGTTCTAGAATTAAAAATTACTTCATTTAAAGAGGATACAGGGAAGATGCAGAGGGGAAGCACGAGGATTCTATCTTCCCTTGTAGGCAACAATTGAACTGGCAGAATCTGTCTGATGCAACTATTTTGAAACTCTGAAGCCTATTAAAGGCTTAAAATATCCATAGGAGGGCTTGGATGAAAAATTGCAGTCAATTTCAGCTTTTAGCACGTTGGCAGCTATCCATCCCCCACCTCTTAGCTTCATGGCAAGAAGCTGTGTATATGTTCCTGTAGCAGCATGTAAAGAGTTAGCAGGAGCCCGGGTGGGCATAAAAGGATCCTGTCCTTCAAATATCAAGGATATTGGATCACTTATTGCTGTTTCTGATCACAGAGTAGTGAACAAAGAGGTGGAATTTAAAGGGCTGATGCCCTTCCCCCCTCTTTATTTTTTTCTTTTTTTCCTTTTGGGAGCCAGACATTAAAGAATAGGACATCCCAAAATAACTGCATATATGGGAAAAATTAGAAAGTGACTTCACATGCCCAGGGAAAGGCTCAAAAAAGACTTGAGAAGACCTTAAATTTACATTCAGGCTGATCCTCAGGCCAGAGACAACCTACAATTTTTAAAAAGTAATAGCAATAACACAAACCTGGGAAAGAGAGAAAAACTCATTCTCAGAATTACCAGAATATTAGATTCAAATGTCCAGGTTTTAACCAAAAAAAAAAATTACAAAGCACACAAAGAAACAGGATACTACTGACCATTCAAAGAGAAAAAAAATAAGAAACAGAAGCTGTTCCTGAAAGATATCTACTAGATAAAGACTTTAAAACAATTGACTTGTAGCTGAGCAAAAGTAGATGTGGAGAAAGTCAAGAAATGAAGTATAAACAAAAGGGAAATACTGAAAACATATATAAAACCTAGAAAGCAACCAAAAGGAAGTTTTGAAGCTGAAAAGTACACTAAAATGCAAAATTTGCTAGAGGGATTCACAGGTAGATTTGATCAGATAGAAGAATCAGTAAACAAAGAGGACAACGGAAATTATCAAGTCTGAAGAACAGAAAGAAAAAAGATTGAAGAAAAGTGAAGGCGCCTTGGGGATCTGTGGAACACCATCGAACAGACTAACACACACATTGTATGAGTTCCAGAAGCAGAAAAGACAGAGAGAGAGAGAGAAGGGGGCAGAAAGAATATTTGAGGAAGCAATGGCTAAAAACTTCGTGAATTTGTTGGCATTAAACATCCAAGAAGCTCAATGATGAACTCAAAGAAAACTCATACCAAGACATATTACAGTCAAACTTGCAAAAGACAATGAGAGAATTTTGAAAGTGACAAAAATAGGTGGCTAATCACATACAGGGGATCATCAATAGGTTTATAAGAAAATTTCTCATCAGAAACTTTGGAGGCCAGAAGATAGTGGATCATATATTCAAAGTGCTAAAAGAAAAAAATAAAACCTGTCTACTAAGAATCCTATTTCTGGCAAAACTGTTGTCCAAAAGTGAGGGAAAA